AAAAGTAGAACAGTGTATCCTAGAACAGTCAGTTAAAATGTCATTAAAAAGCATTATATGTAAATGATGCCTTATAATAAAGACAAATTTAGATATGGGGAAAAAACTTATAAGAATAAACGGAATAAACAGTCAGTGCTTTTGAAAATAAGCGTGACCCGTAAAAAGATAATGAATGAAAATATGTGCATATTTATTTCTTCAATATTCCAAGGTAATTTATTTTAATAGTGAATACTGCCCTCTACAATCCTTCATGAATTCTGTACAATTTCAATGATATAAATTTAACATAACTGTAATTTGCTCTTTTAAAATATGTAATCCTCTAAAAGAATATAAAAATATAATTCCTCAGTAGAATAAATTATTATTTAAAGGAAAATAGAATTTAAAATATTATAGGAATCCTAAAAATCAATGACACAGGGCTGGGGCTGTAGCTTAGTATTAGAGCACTTGCCTCTCATGTGTGAGGCACTGGGTTCAATCCTCTGCATGACATAAAAATAAATAAATAAGGATATTTTATTCATCTACAATTAAAAATAAATTGATAAATAGATAGATAGATAGATAGATAGATAGATAATGCTACAATTGTTTGTAGGCAATGATCCAAATATGGCTACACTAAATTTTAATGTTATCATTGAATAAATGCATACATATGAATTTTTTCACTTTAAATATCCTTCCTCAAATTATCAAAATGGCCTTGTGAATATTGAGAGGCATACTTTGATGTCATATTTGTTGAAACATTCACCAATGAATTTGTTCAAAAGTAAATGTAGCTTTAATCGCAAAAGCACATGCAATGCTTAAAAAAGAAATTCCTCTACCTATTATAAATGAAAAAATATCAATGGAAAATTATGTAATTTCCAATGCAACATCATATATACATAATTCCTATCTCAACAGAAAAGCTAGAGATGACTGAGGACAACCACTCAATGACAACTGAATTTATCCTTATCGGGTTTACAGACCACCCAGACATGAAGACTCTTCTGTTTGTGGTGTTCTTTGGCATCTATCTGGTCACCATGGTGGGGAATCT